CTACCATATTAGCGAAACTAGTACTACAACATTTCTGTTAAACTCAAGAAAAATGAAGCTGAAACATATTTTCCTGTGTATCATTGAATAGATACATTTACGATGGAATAAGATTTTATGAAAGTACTAAGACTTATTTGCCTCCAACAAAGTTAAAATTGTATATTTAAATGTCTTCGTTGTGCTCGCTCCAGGTTGCACGGTTTCATTTTCCCTGATGGCACAAACCACTAAGCAATATCAGCAGTAGTAGACTACTCACATTGAGCAGTAAAAATTGTGGTGAATCCTCACTTCGAACTGTGTAGTTCTAAAATGAAGGATTCGATTCAATTTAACACCATTTCGCCCAGGTAGCTGACCGGATGACTGGACTCCATGAGCTGAGAAGATACAGGCACACCGCTTATGAGTTCGGCCACAAACAAGCGAAAGAACACTCACCTAGATCTGACATAAGTAACTTCCAACTACTTTTATAATCACAGTCTGCAGAAATGAACAGGTAGCATATTATGATTCAATAAGTTTTGATTCCCAGCGGAAACTGTGACAAATTTTCACCTCACACTGTGAAGTTTCTAAATAGGGAATTCAATTTCATCATCCAATTTCAAAACGGATGAGCTCTTAAAATCCCTCACGAATGAAATAACTACCTTTCTTGATGACCTTCGCTATGATTGTTTTGGCCTAGGAGATTTTCAGATCAATATTATTTACTGCATCACTTTATATCATGCCAAACAAACTGACTTGATATGGAAGTACATTCTACCTTAGTGCCCAAGTTCTACACTTACATTAATTCGTTTGAGTACCAGACCTTTAAAAATTTCCTCGTATTCTTCGTGAATACATGAATATAAAAACTGACATCCACTTGTATTCTATTTACAAGTCACTATTGTAACAATTATTCAACAATGCTGAACACATCTGGGAATACACAAAAATTCAATGTTTAAGTTAAATGGAGTTCACAGAGTGTGACATACTTACACTTCAGTAGTCAAATATGTGAACAGATAAAAGGAACACAAATACCTGCAGTATTAGCTGTTACTCAGAGACTAGAAACTATATTCCATCTAATAATCAAATCAAAAATTTGGCTACATCACGTGGACGACACAGTCATCATAAATAGGAGAAGTGATTCAAAAAGCTCTCATTATCTCATGAACAACGTTTGCAGCGACATTTAATCCACAACAGGCGACAAATCAGGAAGCAAAAACACATTTCTGGGTTTCTTGGACAAGATAGTAAATGCGGGGAAATCGTAAACACACATACAGTAAGTCAACTCATTCAAACCGAATACTTGATTGTAACAATTCAACAACATATAAAACATGCATATTAACTTTATTCAAAGGAGCCAGAACACACTACATAACTCCCCCTTCCCAAAGCATACGGCAAAAACACTTGTCTTTCATCTAGGGAAATCAGTTCTGGACTATTTTAACCCCTTAAAACAGATATTGCTGAAAAATGGATACAATCTTTTCACTCCGTATTACGTAGACCAAGAGAACAAACAACAAGAGACCAAACCAACGTTGTCTATATATGTAGTATCAACTGCGAAAAAAATCGTACTGCTCCAAGCTGACGCAGCCTTTATTTTCATAAACCAGTCAAAATACATGAAATTTTTCGATATATTAGTGGGAGTGACCAGCTAGTTCAGCTAATACTGAATAAATAAATGTAGACACCTTTAAGAGATAACGCAAGAAGAATGCTAGGGAACTTTTGAAAGCCTGGTACTCAGATCAGTTGTCAATGAACAAGCATGTTTATTTACGTCAAATTCACTAATCAATAATGTATAAGTCCTGCGATGCAAAGGTCAAATATCAGATCAAAAAGACCATAAGTATCTGTACATGTGAAAACAATGATTAGAAAATCTCCAGAGTTAAACAATCACAGCCGAGGGCATCAAAAAATACAGTTGTACAATGCACGAAGAATTCTGAGAGCTCGCCACATTTTGAAATTAGACTGACAATTTTGTTCCCAGAAGGGTAACAATCAAATTCATCATTTGTGAATTTTAAAGGTCTATGCGAGAGGCGTCACAGTTAAACCCACCAGCTTAGAGAATACAAAAGCAATAAACACCTGAGACACAAATCTTCTCCATTGTATTTAATTGTCGAAAATATCTATTACCTGGGTTATGAAATATCCCAGAGAGTGTGTGGCATGAAGGTAAACAATAGGTGAAAATCAATCCTTTAAACCAAATTCGCACTGACTTCCTGCCTTCAGAGGAATTGATAAAGCTTCCTTAGAAAATATATTCATCTCTAATTCTCCTACTTATTGTTTCTACCTCACCATGAAGAGTTAAGTTAAAAAATGTTCAAGTTTAAGTTGATTTAGCTCCAGTATTTCAGGAAATAGAAGTGAAAACCCTTCAAATAATTTTAGAGCAGTTGTATTTTAGTTTGCTGTAGGCCTTTCACTCTGTCCCTGTGCTGAACTAATCTAGATGCGTAAATTCTGCCGATGTTAAGGAAGCTCGTTATTATTATGACTTAAATGAAGACTTCACACGGCATATTTGCCAGGTTAAACCATGTTAGAAAATATGAATCCACTCTATGCAGATAAACTTTGGAGTCGGTACCAAAGTGTATTTTTTTAGTAGCATGTCTCAGTAACCAAAGCTAAACCTCTTACTTATTGTAAAGATTTCAGTGATGAGTCACATTGGTTCTTCATATAAGCAGTTTCTCTTTCAAAAGCTCTTTGAAGTTAATAGTAGGAAATTTTATAACACTTTACGTTACAGTATTCTTTAACGTACAGCTGATCAACTTTTATAAGGCTAATAGCAGTTCATAAAACATTCATGCAAGAATGATTCCTGAAAATGCTGTAACTCAGAAGCTGACATCCTATTCGGCTTCCTGGATTACAATCTATATTTACCTATCACTTGACCACACACACTGTGAGGCTCAAGATAATTCATAAGTTCTCGAGAAAATTAACATATAAATTTTTTTAAATGTTACGTCTACACAGGTTCGAACCAGCACAGTAAGATTTAGTTAGGTTCAGTACGGTAAACTTAAGGCTTATAGGATTAACAATAGAGAGAGAGCAAGAATGATCAAACGAAATTTGACGAAACTTTCGAAAACTTTGAGATATAAACAGTGAATTCGTTTTCACTGCTTTTACTTCACTGCTTTTGGGTATCTTAGTGACCATCTGTTTTTATCTACATACCTAAGATGAACAGCGAGAACTAAAAAGCAACCGAAAGAACTGTGACAAATAAGCAATTTATAGTAAACAGCAAAGCCATTTTAAGCAAACATTATTTACCAGAGAATATATTCAAAAGTAAGTAAAGTTAAGCCGAGTTTGTATTTGATTTTACCGAAATTTCAAACATGGAATGAGCATAAGTGACCACATAGCTTTACGTACAAAAGCAAACATTCTGTGGATTGTATGGAATTAGTTATATGTAACCCCCGAGTATGGCTGTTATAAACGACTGATATGCTAAATTTATATTGCAAATATACACCAGATGAAAGTTATCATTGACTAGTACATGCACGGAAATGGACTTAGTTACTGTCGTCTACTCTTTTATTGATAAAGGCAAGTCTGTTTCAAGTTTCATTTAACCTACTCTGTCAAGCGTCACACATCTGTATGTAAAACTTCTATAACTTGAAATATTTTACACTCATTTTGGTTACTTAAGTTTTTATGAGGTATCATAGAGTGATAAACCATGGTGCCGGGCTAAAGAACACATTTATGCATGGTGGCGATAACTTCTAGGAGATCGAATTTAGCAAAGTGGTAAATCGACTCGTAGCGAAATCTCACAAAGTGAAAAGTAATGAATCTAAAGAAACATAGGTGAAAATAATTAATGTACATGAGGATGCTACTATTGTTTGTAAACGGATGGGGGGGGGGGAATTAATGGATTCAGACACCTAAATCTGATAGTTTACAGTTGACAGTGGAATACATACGATTGTCATCACAAACCTCACGACCAGCTAGTTATTTTATATCTTGATATTTATTTGAGAATATCAAATAAACTTCTTTACCAGCCAGAAATAAAATGTAGAGTGCCTAGAAAATTTATACTTTATTAACATGTGTATTGGTGCAAAACTTTACGTGACGTAATAAATACTAAAATAAAATGTAATATATTCAGTATGTGATTCGCCTCTGTCAAATGTAAGACGAGGATGCATTTCTGCTATGAACCGACCCCCACTTTAGGAACAGGGAGTGAAATAACCGACAGCAAAGTTCAGGTCACTTGGTATCCCTAAAAGTCTGATGTCTGACGAAACCGAAAATATAAGCAGCACAATAAGAAAATGTGTCAACAAATCCGGTAGGTAAACCGTGAGACTCACAATCATCTGTGAAAATAACACTTGGTAACGTCAACACACAATCCAGTACAGATTTTCCGAAAATGCGTGTAAAAAGCTACCAAATGAAATCAACAAGAACTATATAGCGGTTTACTGAAACACAGTAGCATCAACGACAAACTGATGTGTTGTAGAAATATGTACTGTTTGTTGATAAATTAAGCATTAATATGCTAAACATGTCATTCTACGCAAAATTAACATTTAATATTTTAGCATGACTGTACTTCAGGCTTCAGCGGATTTATTACAGTCAAAGACTTAACGATTAACCATTATAAAGTGAAATGTCACTACTGATGACAAAATGTGTTTGGAAGAACAGTCCCGGTTTATGAATACCGCAAAATAGCCACATGAAAATTATTTCTGGTAAACTTTCGAAACCTTTGGCTGTAAAATACCACTGAGAATTGAACTAATGGAACTGCAGTCACTTATTTTAGCAGATATCTGAACGTAGTCATCTGCACAAAATGAAATAGTTGTATAACATATAAAAACATAGGTTTACACGAAGGAATTTTATGTAATGTAAAAGCATAAAGTTACCGATAAGTGTTTTATCGAAATACAGTGAAAACAGCACGTGAACAGATAAAAAATTAAAAAGTGACCCAAGGTTATTTTCAGTTTGAAATGATGTATTTAAAAAACTCCTTTGAATCGTTCAATGCCAGTTATTTTCATAATTTGTAAGCCAAAAGCTGAATGCCTATGGTCTTTTAAGACCAACGGCCTACAGTTACATTCGTGACAGCCAACTGTCACTGTTTTAGGGGATGAAGGCACTCAGTAAAGCGTTGCGGCCGTTCGGCAAATTGTCGTGCTTTGTTCCGTTGTTCGTGTAGCCGTTCAGGTTATCTTCTATTTTGACGATACCCTCTAAAAGATGAAAACCTTGTTTTTGTCTTCCGCATTCCTGTTCTTGCTCTGTATTTTTAAAATGGTTCTTTAACGTAGGTTATTTGCCGATGCTTTGTTAACAGTGTGCTCTGAGAACTACTTGCTATTCTGGCTTTCCACCCTGAATTCTTGTAGGTGTGATTTCCTTCATGCTGCCATTATGTTGATTTCATATTCTTCCCAATAGAACAGATCAATCGCAAGCGGATTACCTTGCAATAACAACTCACGTTGAAATCTTCGACGTTTCGAGAGCGAAATAATCGTTAGGTGGGTGCTCTGTGTGATGCCGCGTTTGCTGGCTGCACAAATACTGTTTCTTGTAGGACCACTACGCTGTAGCAATCTGATACAGATAAATATAATATGTTCAGGGAATCAAAGGGATCCTTAAATACAAATTAGCTTCATACGTCTCGAATATACATTCGCATACATTTTGATGGACAATAACGAAGACAAATTAAGAACGAATGCTCTCTTGAAGTTACTGTCACGCGGTGGCCTCAGTGTGTTGAGGTAGTGCAATTTTATAAATTCCCACCACTTAATTACCTAAATTCAGCATGTATAAGGTATTGACACCGCATTCTCCTGCAATATGTGAAACTTCAGGTTTTAGTTATATATACGAAGACGAAAAGTGAAGCGTTGCTAACTTCAGATGAAATATATTATTGTAAATTTCATATTCGTATTTTACATTTTACGGAAAGCCATTTCTTCAGATGGTAGTCTTTTTTTCTCGAAAGTCAATATGGTCTATGTAATCAAACAGCCGAAGTCAAAATCAAGTAATTCAAAACGATACTTCATGATAATGACTTTCGAACGAAGTATACCCAAATATGGAACACCCGACAGTATCCGCAGTTCACATATATGGTCTAGCTTTCATCAGACATAGTCACATGCTTGAGCCAATTTTACAGTTATCAAAAACAACACTTAAAAGTGCCTTTAAATCATTTGGTCTCTCGAGGTTCTGAAGACATACTTGCGTCTCAGAAGTGTGACTTCGTATAAATGTGGTGGAAAAAATCATCTAATAGATTCAGAAGGCAGAATATAGCAGTCACACTTTAAAAACCTATTAAAAGTAGAAATATGACTTTGCTTGTTTCGTTGGTGTATAATTGACTCCAAAAAGTAGACCAAGCTTCAGTGAGATAAATTGCCGCAATAAATATATATACCGTTATACTATCAGCTATCACGTGTAATTCAGCCAGTTATTCCAAATTTATCCAGCTTTAGAAGATTCCGTCTGACAGTGTTTTTGCTAAGCAGCATTTCATCTGCATCTAGGACTGGCGAAAGTAATGAAATATGAGCTAACCACTTTATGCCTCTTCAAACCTTTATATTCCCTCCTGAATATTTTTGGATGGCCTTGGCGTAGTGGGCGGATTCCAGTTGTCTCTGTCCTGTTTAAGATCACTGTCTTCTTGTTTAACATGAAGTAACAACTAAGTGGAATGCAGATACTTCAACATAATCGGAAAGTCGCTGCAACATTGAGAAATTCAAAATGTTCAGCTTGAACATCTTGGTTGACGACACCACAAATACTCGCAGCATCTTCGATCGCACCTGTCAGTCCTTAAGCAGGTTAACTAATGACAGAATTCAGGAATCTTCTCCAAGATATCCGTATATGCAATGCTTCAGTTTGTAAGGATGAATAAAAAAGAAGGCACGGAACGTCTGGAGTTATAACTGCCATCATCCAAGGATTCCTGCTGAAGGTGTGAAACGTAGATACGCTAAACTCTAACCCAAAGAATACTAGGCAATCTGGTGATAGGGGTCAAGCCCTTCCTATCTTTTAACTTGATGTTCGCGGGCTATACCGAACTGTTGATTTGGGAACTGGCTAGAGTAAGTCAATATCTTAGTGAGTAACCCGATCGGATATGTGGTGAACATTCTACTGGAAACAGCCTTGACACGACTGTTACAGCCAGACATAAAACTGGCTGTTTGATTATTCTGCAGAAGAATACTGTGAAAAATACAAAAGGATATGGCTATTTTAATGGTCATGCTCACTAATTCCAAGTGCCACAGTTGCATATTTCTGTAAGTAATGGGAGTGCGAGACTTATATTCACTTCTGCCACCTGTTAAAATATTTGATTCGCAATTCGAGAGTATCCTCCTAGATGGACTACCACCTAAGACGAATGTTGGCCACCGATTCATCGAATTTGCATGTTTTTTTGGATGAACTCTTTCTTCTTTTCCCCAGTAATGTTTATAATATTGCTTAGCAGTGCATAAGTTATTCCTGCAAGCTTCTGATAGTTATACATTCGTTGAGGTAGGTCTATGGCCGAACTATGTGGCCGACAGAACGGCGTATTTTTACCATTCTTCTGATTGCAATAATATATTTGTGCCTGTCTATGTAAGAACGCACCAATTGTACAGGCGTGGGTAGGTATCGTTTAAATTGCATAAATTTAATTTTTGGCGGAATAAAACGTACTTCGGTAAGTGCACATGTTGAACAGCGATTTCATGCTGATCATGCACAAATACAGGATCAGACATTCAAATTTCACCATAAGTTGTGGCACATCCTGAAGTGTTGCATCAGGAACAATACGAGAAACCATATGGGTGACCCGGTGTTATATACACCTAGTTCTGCCTAATTTCGCCTAAAACCCTGAAACAAATATTTTAAGGAGATGTTAGGCATTGGAGTGAGCCCCTTGTTTTTCCCTCTGTTTACATCGCTGGATTCCTATTGACTCTTATTAATTTTAACGCCTCATCGAACTACTGCATTTCCAAGACCATCCTAACTGTTAATATACAGAGTTTCTGCTTCTTATCGACGTCCAGCCTTTTCCTTTGCCTTTACGTGTCGCGGGGCCATTGCTTTTGGCGTGCGATTTGGGCAGACTAGCCAGTGAATTAAGTTGATATTCGATCATAGTCTACTAGGCTGTAGTTCCGGTCACAACACCCGGAAATTCATCATTCAGAATAAATGCATCAATAACAAAGGAGGTCAAACCATGCGACCAGTTTTTCATATGGCACAGCTGAATATTTGCAATGTTATTGGTCATAAATAAACATCAGCTTAATGTTGCCTCAGTCTACCAAGAACAAGACACGCACGCACTTGTGGAGAGTATTGTTGCTTCTGAACGGAGCTGACATATTCAAGTCATAGATAGGAATAAATATATCATCATCATTATACCTTTCCGGTACCAAACTACAACGGGTTAGGATAAGTAGAATCGATCGAAACAAATGGGTATTAGCTATATTAGCTGCTGATGGCGTCTTAAGTTCTTTTTCTATGCAACATCTTTGTCCCTCGTTGTGGCTTCTAAATGTGAATGACTCCCACACACAGTAAAGATGAAGTATTGAATTGCAGCGCTCTCTTTCGAATGCAAGCGTATGGTTTGAGGGGACTATTTCAAATAGGCGCCCCATTGCATATTCCAAAACATCAGTATTGTGTTACGCAACACTTTCACTGTGACGTCTGAGTTCAACGTCATTTTTATTACATTTGCAAATTCTCCGCGGACAAGGGTCCCCAATTACTCATTTATTATGTGCATATCAACTATTAGCGCTAACACGATAATTATATAATACATAATACAACAATATATAAATATAATGCATTTGCAACACGAGCTGTACACCTTGATTTCTCAGTAAGGATTTTGTACACTTCATAAGGAATAAATAATCTTCTTCACCAAATCAGTCCTCCAAGTCGACAAAAATTTCGAGTTTGAATAACTTCCAGCCTGGTGTTTAACCACAACTTAAAAACTCAACATTTTTTTACAGTTTCTGAGAAGGCAGCTAGCAGTTGTAAGTAGTCGAAAATAATGGTTTCTTTCAAAAGATAAAATAAAAAATTTCAGTTCGCATTTGGTGTGAATACATTTATAGATTTTATCGTCCACACTCAATTTTCATAAAAGTTTACTCCGCAACCATGCACATCCTTTACTTTTATGATCGCATATACTCTGATTAATTTCTAGATATGATGATGGTTCTGAAGAAGAATGTTAGATACAGTGGTATGATAATGCACATATCTAACTCCTCAGAGCCGATGTGCTTATTCGACGTGACTAGATAACAATTAGAAAGCCAAAACGACATAACGACTTGGTCGACTAAAATAGTGAAAATATTTTGGTATGACTGGTGCTGGTTGATTACCAGAGATGATTCAGGAACAAAAGAAGGTGACATGACAGAGTGCCAAATAATGAGGATGCTTGGTCAAGTACTTCCAACTTAATCAGTAAAGTTAAACAGAGAACAGCAATCAATAATGATGAAGGCCGCAGACCAACGATTTTAGGGAATAATAATATATATTTATTCCTATCTATGTGGGACACACCAGTTGTACAGGCATGGATAAGCATTATTTACATTACATGAATTTGATTTATGGTAAAATTACGTGGCTGCTGTCTTTTCTGACATTAGTTTGTGAGTACAATCTGCTGGCTATTATTTACCATTGTAGAGTTTAACTAACATATACTCGTCGTTCCAGTATATATATATATAGACAGTATATTCCTCTGGACAAATCCAAATTTTGTGTGGTCGTAAAAGTAATTCCTTCCTGTCAAGAAACAGGATTACCTTTAAAATCACTAATTCAGGAGCTAAGGTCTGAAATATAAAGACCTTGCTAGTTGACCAGTGGTATT